GAAGTTCAGCAAAAAGTTCAGACACCTAAAAGGCGGAGAAACTAAGTGAAATGTGATACTCACTTGACACTGATCCAACATCGGTAATTAGTTGCAATAGATATACAAAAGTCTGTCAATAGTAACAGAGGCCTTAGACCTCCTATGCTGACTGCGAAATCTCAAATAACGATAAATGTAATTACCTTGCGAAGGAACTGATATGCATGATCACTTGCTTGTAAATCAGATGATTGTAGAGCTGCGGGAGTTTTTGCGTAGGAAAATCCAGTGCCCACCGGCAAGTCTATGAAAATAATGCTTGCCACCTAAAATTTCCATGATATTTTTAACATTTTTGAATTGTGCACAAACTTTATGTACATTACAAAGTACAATTTGAGAATCAAATACTCTCACCTTTGTCCATGAGTAAGGATTCAGTAACATTGTAGGCAAACTCCCATTGTATTCCACTGCCTCAAATGTTATTGGTCCTTCATATTCATAGTTCCAAAAGTTTAGAAAGTATAACTTAATAGCTTGTTAAATGCTAGAAACTTTTAGGATTCAAATCAACTAATTATACTTGTTATTTGTGGTATTTTAATCTAAGTTGCCAATGATCTGAACCAAAATATTTTTCTTATTTAGCTTGATGAAGCGTGATCAACAATATACCTATAGTTTAATTCCACAAGTGGGGTCTAAACATAGTAGAATGTATGCGGACCTTACCCCTATCTCGTGAAGGTAGAGAGATAGTTTCTAATGGACCTTTGGCTCAAGAGTAGCAAATTAAAGCAATTATGAAAAAGATTACATGCAGTGAAGCGAACATGACAACTAATAAGAAAAGCAGCATAGAGATCATTTAGAGAAAAAGAATAGTAACATTAACAAGGTAATGCGAAACAAAAATCAAAGAACAAGAAATTAACTACGAGAATAGAGTTAGTAATACGACAAGCACGGAGCTCCACATTAACACCAAGCTTATCCCGCAAAAAGTGAGACAATGTCGTACTATATACTAACCTTCTACCTAATTCACGACTTCTATACCCTCCTCTCTCAGGTCATGTCGTCAGTAAGTTGAAGATGAGACATGTCATGTCTAATCAACTCTCCTTAGTACTTCTTCGGCCTACTTCTACCTCTCATCATAACCACTATTTCCAACCCCTCACAACTCCTCATTAGAGCTTTTGTGCATCTCCTCTTCACATGTCTAAATCATCTCAGCCTTGCTTCCTTTATCTAGTCTACCATGTTAAGAATTTCCACATCAGAAAAGGGATGAAAATTTGGTCTCCTTATATGGACTTGGACAGCCTCATGAGCTAGCTTTTGAGATTGAGTTAGGCCCAAGATCCATCTTTATACACCATGGAGATCACGCCCACCTTGTCCTAGATATTTCTATTCCTAATCTTATTTCTCTTTATATGCCTACACATGACACATCCATCTCACCGTCCTCATTTTCGAAACTTGCATCTCCTAAATATAAGAGTTGTTAACTGACCAACAACTCAACTCATGCAAAAGAGTCCATTGAACCACTACTGTATAGTAATTATCTTTTAAGTTTTGGTGGTACCTTCTTATCAAACAACTTGAAGCATGATGAAGAGGTGTAAATCAAAGGTTAATTGCATTTTTGTACACTATGAATGAAACTTAACATGTTCAATTGAAATTATTACTAGGTTACCCATACATACCAATCTCATAGATAAGGCCAGATAGAGCAGAGCAACCAGGTCCTCCAGTGATCCAAAGCATAAGAGGGTCGGAGTCTGGATCAGACTCCGACTCTATAAAATAATAGAATAATTGCACATCTTCTGAATCACCAACTCCTACATACCTGGAAATACCAGTCAATTATATGAGTTTTAAGTAAATCACTTGAAAAACATAACTCTAATAATTCCTCACC